GATCTTTAAGCTAGTCATCTACATTCCTGAAAGGTATTCTATGACAATAAATTAATATGTGGCTGAAAAAATACTAATGATTTAAAAATTGGAGATAATGTTCAGTAGTTCGGAGAGAGATTAAGCATACATGTAAAATCAACAAAAGGTTATTAGAGAGCTGTTGAAGTAGCATTTAGGAAGTTCTCATTGCATTTTTAAATATTTATGAGTGAACATCACAGTGTTAGATGAAATTAAAAGTGACAGCTAACAAATAAATTATCCAACTACTTAAAATTCCTAATTTATGATATATAGAAGTAAAATAGAAATGTGTAAATGCATAACTAAACATAACTATACAAAACACTATAAACTCATTAAGTACAAAAATTTGCCACATCCAAAAGATTTTTCTTTTCTTCTGTGATTTACAGTTAGAATAACTATTTTAATATCTAGAAAGAACACTATCAAAGTATATGATTAATCCTGTGTGAATTACTGAATGCCACCTGAATTACAAGGAATTTCACGGGTGTGTTTCTTTGGTGGCTGCAGGATAAATTCAGAGTCTTAAACATGTTGACCAGGTTCTTAATATCATCTACCACTGAGTTATGCCCATACTCACAGGTTCAGTTTTTATTACACGTGTCTACTGATTTATGGGGATAGTGTGAGTGTGGGCATGCAATGATTGTGCATGTGTAGACCAGAGAAAAAGTTGTGGGAGCTGGTTTTCTCCCGCCACCTCTGGATCCAGGGTTTGAACTCAGGTTGTCAGCCCGGTAGCAAGCATCATCACTCACTGAGCCATCTCACCGGCACACAAGTCTATTTCTTAACTGGTTCCAAAAGCACACGATAGGCATGAATTCCATGCATTCCTTCTTTGGTTATTTTTTTCATTAACATTCAGATATCCTACTTTAAGGCAAATAAAAATTTATCTGATAAAATAAACTCAGAAAAATTCTGTTATGTGAGGATTCATAGCTTACAATTGTATTGATGAAGAGAGAACGATGATCTAATGAAGCCTCCCTAGAAATCTAGACTGTTGTTATGGAAACTGTAGAAAACACAATTCTCAGTGCACTATCATAGTCTTTATCTCAGGACACCTGTTTCCAGTTTTATCTCAGTTGCATTTGATGTTCAATTATGCCATTGTAACAGATTTTCAATTTATTAAGACAAGATAAAGATCCTTAAGAACAGCTGAGAAGAATACAAATGAAATAATGAGGAAGAAGTTGGCTTTGGGGCCAGAAACACAAAGAATTATTTTTCTAATTAAATGGAACCTTTTTTTTTCTATTTAGTTTCGAGATGATGTAAGTACTACCTAAGCCTTATTGGAATGAACATGGGGAATGAGTGTTTGTACTTTTAAAAAATTTGTTGCTCTTAGGATTTTTAAATTTTTATTTGCATGCATGAATATTTTGCTCACATCTGTGTTTGTGCAGCATGTTCATGCCTTAGAAGAGGCCACTGAGTTCCTTGGAACTGAAATCATGGATCAAGGGTTGGGGACTGTGATGTGGGTCCTGGAAACTGAACCCAGGTCGTCTGTAACAGCAAATGTGCTATTACCTGTCCAGTCATTTCTCCAGCAGCCCCTTAAAGATGTATTTTTTACATTTGTGTGTGTGTGTGTGTGTGTGTTTCTGTATCCATGAGTACATATATGCAGTTGAGTGCAGGTACCCATGGAGGCCACAACAGCACCCTCAATCTTCTGGAGCCAGAGTTACAGGCAGTGTGTGTGTAGTGTGTGTGTGTCTATATTTGGAGTATGTATGTGTAGTTGAGTACA